GACACATCATCAATTACTGTTGTGAAGGCTTGTCCAAAATGGCTGAAGCTGAGGTTTCCACTCGCCTGAGAGTTAATCCCCTAGATGAAGTGGGACCGGGTGAACAGCCGCAATATTAGATGAGTTGTGAGTAGAAGCCGTGGAAAATGGAGTATCCTAAACTCAGTTGTCTGAACTTGGATTTATTTGACATAACGAGAAAAAAAAAGTTGATGAGGCAACTTACAGATGATCCATTTAATTACTTCCTTCGATAAGGCAAAAGGAAGTGCAGCAGGTACTGGTACATGTATTCCATTCATTTCATGAAGACGTAATATTATCAGAAAACTATGAACTCAACAATTTATTTCAGAATTTATTTGATTGGCTTTTAAAATGGGATAGGAAACCAACATACATTAAATAAAAAGCACTCATAAAAAAATGCTTTCACAAATCATTGAAACCTTCATTTAACCTTAAACCACTTGCTGCCAGGTGCTTTTAAAAATGCAGTGCACACATACGGGAAATTTTCGAAATCTTCAGTTTTCAAAATTCTTCAAAACTTCATCATTTCATTTAATGGACGTTTGCACCCACACGAATGACTGTTTGGTGGCTACTCTAAGCTGACAGGCAATCTTCATTGACTCTGAGTATTTCAGCCAGGCCTGCCGCCCTGTAAAGAGAGCCCAGAATTGTGAGGTGTTGCAAAATTTCCTTTGTCCCCAGTGAATGCGAGTGGTGTCTTTTCAAACGTAGCTGGATTAACATGCAGTGGTGCTGTGTCGCTCATCAATGGGGCCATGCAGCACTTTTGTCCATGGTGCTAATCTGCAGGTGCGCTAGGCCAAAAACAGTGGTAAACTGTTTAAAAACAGTGACAGATTACCTTCGGATAATGCAAGCCAAAAAATGATGGCAATTCCCAGCAGCAGCAGGTCTTTTGTTCCAAATACGTCTTTTTGTTACACGGATCAGCTCTTTTGTCCCATTTTGGGCATCACAAGGAGTGTTTTACATGTACCCCGCCAGTACTGCAGAACAAACAGTGCAAACATTTATGCAAACATAGCCAAAGAGGGCACTATGCGTAAGTAGTGCCCTCTTTCAGATGTTGCTCCCATTTTTACCATTTTGGTGAATTTTCCCGTTAGATATTTTCAAACCTAGTTTTCTGTATTTGGAGATGATGTTCAAACATACTTGAAACATCTTTTAGGAATTTGGACCCTTTATTGTCCCGATATCTACTGAAGTCTTGGCCAAATACGGTTTTAACCCCTTCACGCCGGGACACGGCAAGACACGCCATAAAAATTGAGATCCTCAGCCCGCTTTTCAGCTAATACTCTCGGCCCATGCTAGAGCGAACACGGTGAAATCTATCCAGCAGTAAACACAGTCTCCTCTGCGTCTGCTGCACATCTCCTCCAACGTTAGCTGCATCTTGTTTATCCACACATCCTGCAGAAGTATCCAAGCTGCAATTTCCTTGCAATGATGAAGTTGCATGTCCCCATTTTGATCGTCCCCAAGCAACGGTTGTTATGGGTGTCATTCCAAGCATCTCACTCACATCACGTTGTGCGTCAGCACTCCGCGTCACTGGTAGTTTTCCACTGACAGTCATTATATCGCTCGTTGGCTCTCTCCCCACTCCTATGGGACTGCTGTCAGTGTCTCTCACATATGCACCTCCACCCGTCGGGTTGGCTGTTCCTCAAGAATTCTCCCTAGCTCCCGGTGAGTGTCTGAACTCATCCTTGTTACCATATCACTCGGCACTGCTGCACTTGTCGAGGTGTGCCGAGGCCTTCATGTAGAATTCATCGTCACAAAAGGTGTTACAAAAGCCGGGTGTCTGAGACTTCCGCTGGTTCCCCTACTTGGTATTGAAGTGTAGTGGGTGGATGGAGTCACATGTACATGTAGATAATCTGCAATGTCTGTGACCATCTGCCTATGTTGAGTCATTTAAGCAGCTCCAGTCTCCTGTCCTGGTGCTTTTGCTGCCCGTCCTCCATCCCGTGTACATCTATCAGCACTCATCGTACTATGGTACATCATATATGGCATTTTGAAGGTACTGGTATAGGTGGAAGTGGTGTGATCAGTGTCCGCAAAACGATGCTGGCTGTACTAATCACAATCCCATGGGGAGTCCTCCTGGCTCCTTCACAGCTTTGGCAGAATTCCTCCAATCAGAGCTGTACACAGTACACAAGCTCATCCGGCTGCACAAACTTCAGCAATTCTTCCGATCGCACTCTCCCAACTGCTGTTTAAGTATCCTGCTCTGATCACTTTTCCACTTGTCGTGAACTCCACTTGACGATAACAAATCCCATTGATGCCAGAGCAACGCACCCATGGTCAAACGCTAAAGCGTCGCAGGGTTCAAAGTTATACCCGTGCTGATCCATGGTAGTGTGATTGGGCTGACGTCAAGCCCTGCTGTTGAAGCCCGCAGGGTGTCTATCGACAGGATTCCCAACAGGCTGGCGATCACTCGCACACATACCAACTTCAAAGCAAATGCAGAGACAATTCTTCTCTGTTGTGGCAAAGCTCTAGACTTCATTTATTCTAGCACAACTACCGGGTGATGACTCTGGACTACTGACGTAGCTTCTCCATGTCCTGACGAATCATCTAGAGGTGATGATTGCTGACTACTGACATTATTTCTTGTGTTTCCTTTGCATTCAAAAATCCATTAGTGTGGTATAAAAAACAATAGGCAAAAGGTACCCTCAGTGACATTGTTCAATGCAATGTTGTAAGGTTGGGATAGAAAACATTCTTCATGCCTGGATAAACCATAAGCCTCCACTTAAGCAAATAATGACACACCATTCATTCAAGAGGTATGTAACACTTGCGTACCATCTGTCTACAAGCATGGTACAACTGCAATAATGGATTCTAATTATGCTACTCAAATAACACTATAGGATGGTGACATCAATTGCAAACACAATGACTTTACATGTGAGCTCTCGATGCGTGGTTCATGGACAGGAAATTTGAATTCGGTGAGTGAAAATTTCAATTTCTCCAGAATTTGCAGCACATACCGGTAGATGCCAATAGTCATGACCACCCTGAATTAATGATTTCTGGGAACTACAAGTTTGTGAAATAACTAGTTTTCGACTCATCGAAAATTCCAAAGGCAGTGAGAAAACAATGGGATCCAACAATGCATTCTTGAACATAACTGAACTCCTTAGAAAAAGAAAGTTGTTGATTGCAGCACAAACTCAGTAGGAGGTCTCAGGAAATGAAAAGTCCTACGTCTTATGTCAGTCTATCTACACCTTTGTACATCTTTCTACATGTATTATCACAAGGCAAAAAAAGAGGCCCTTACCTTTGGTGCATCATTTTGTGTGTTTTGAGGACTGTGAGATCTTTTAAATCACAACTTTAAGGTCGAGTTCGGGCGACCTGTTCTTGACACGGGTTTCTTGTTCTCGCACTCGAACGGCAGGAACACGACTCAAGAACACTGTTCTTGGAACAGGATCACGCACCACCTCCTCGTCAGGGTTTTACAGGAACACACGGAAAAGCTCGTGAGATTTTGATTTTTTAACAGCTGCAAAAAGTAGGGGGATAGCTTCCAAAGCCATAGACAATGGGAAGTTTGCAAAATTAACTTTAATTTATTTTTTGTAACACAGAAATGAATGTTCCTGTTTATATAGAAAAGAATTCCACCCATCCAAACATTAACTCTCGAATAACGTAGCCTACATAGACACTGCCATGTTGCATGTCACTAACTACCAGCGATAACCGGTTGTTTGTTCCCAGCGTTCGAGCGGCCGACCCATGAACAACAAATCGAGCTGTTTGTGAACATACGGGAACAAGCCGCCTGAACTCTGCCTTACAGTCTATGAATACTAACACTGCAACTTGACAGATTGTACAGTAATACCCTGACATCAGTGGACATATTCTTGTGAGAGAATGTGATACTTACATCCTCTGCCATAGTCTACAGCTGGTATTGATCTTTCAATGAGATAGCGATCTTCCTGTGTTTTGCGATAATCGTCACCAAGGTTCATCAGTAACGATGATACTGATTTCTCAAGCAATTCTGCATAAAACACACCAAACAGTAAATAAGAAATGGTATCTCTGATAAAACCAAAAGACTGCATGAAGAAACATTAGGTTACTAAGTACATTGGAGAGTAATGGTTAAAAACTTTCACGTAACAAAGATTAAAACTGCAAATTTAAATCAAATGAAGCATGGTTTCCAACATAATCCAATGCAGCCGTATGAATAAAATGTTGAGGCAAAATGAAATGAAACCAGTCGGAACTGTAGTTGAATAAACTGAACCAAACTAAAAAAAATCATGATTTTGTGAAACGACCACTAATTTAATACAGTCACATGTACATGAACTTCAAACACATGTGCTTTTACTTCTAGATAAACTAACGCAGCAAACACACAAGCTAGAATGAAAGCAGGTCAGAGGAATAGAGTGAAGGCAAGCAGGAGGACACTGGGTACATTTCAGATACTGCTTAAATTCCCTTAACACTGTAGTTGAAATTTGGTGTAACTTTTCTACTAAAATGGTGTCCGACTGCTTTACAGGTTAAAGATCAATCATATTGGTAATTAAAAATCCTCCCCACAGTAATGTGGAGAAAGTCTGCTAGCGAATACCTACCCCAACAGTCACTGTACATGCTAATTTCCCTAAATGCCGGGTGCCTTTCGCTAAGACCTTGATCAACTGTAGTGCACCCTCTAGTACCACAATGTACCATGGCGTCGCCACCATGTTCATCCTTTTTTGGAGCACAAGATCCAAGCCAGAGTGGGGAGGAGGGAGGGTGTCAACTGTTTGGGTGGGTAGTCTGACTCATTCCACACTACAGTGGGGGAGGAGTCCACTGCACTCATTCTATCCAACCAGTCACTATATTTGCAGAGTAGCAATGTACTCTGGAGGAGTAGGGTAGCGAGGATACACTGAAAGTGAGGAAAATCGTGTGGAATGATGAGGGCCCTCCAAAGAAAAGAGGAGGCCATTAGGAAAAACGGGAGGTGGCTCACCCAGTATGGGTCCTCGTGATCGTGATGAAAAGGCTAGTTTTGTCCCGCCATGAAGAACCTGTCACAAGACTTTATTCAGCATACTGCCCCGCAGATGTTTCTTGAAGGACAACGTAAAGGATGTTGGCAAGGTAGATACCACTCTAACATCATAGCTGCAATAGGGTGGCCAGGATTGTGATTTGGGAAGTTCAGCCATTTGGGACAGGTGAACTCGATGGCCAAGGAAACCCAGCTAGCCCAAGTATCCCTGATTGTCGCTCGATGAGGTTTATCAGAATAATGATGGAAGAAGTGGGATAGTATCTCTCACCTTTGAGTCCTGATTAGATACCATTATGAAAATTGAAAAGGCAAGGTTTACTATTAGAAGAACTAGAATGTTCTACGATTCTCGAGACTAAGATGTCTTGTTGGTGGGATGAATTTGAATAAGAACGTGAGCGGTTGTCTAAGGCTAGGATGGTATAGACGCCGTGGTGTTACCTATTTGATGAAATCATCCCGTGATAAATACTGTCAGTAATCCAGCGCCTCGGAACAAAGAGTTACTCGAGGCTCAAGGAAAGGCCCACAGGGAATCCTTTAAAGAGCAAAAGAACACACGACAGGCCCCGACAATGCCTTACAACAAGTCCAAAGAATAATCAAAAACAGGTGCGAGAACCCAACTGGCCGACATGCAGACTTGCCAGAACCTAACCTAAAATGATAGGTGGTAACCAGCACAGTGCCCTCTGCATTATTTGCGTGGGCTGAGGAAGGGAGGACAGTGCCAAAATTGACCGGTGTACGGGTGAATGAGTAAGTTGGCTCGGTGTCATTAACCTACGATGTCATCATCTCTGTAAGGTGTCCTGTAGATGAGTCTTCCCGTTAAGAGGGAGAGGCTAGGGAGCAAAAAATGCTTGAAGACAGAGTTGGTGTTCTCATCCAGCACCCTAAGAGTGACTGCAGTATGGTCTGGAGAGGCGGAAGCTTTTTTTAGGAGAGATATTATGAGAAGGATGGAACAAAGGCCGCACAGTGGGGACTGCAACAAGAGGTCCTTTTCAACTAGGCTATAGGGTAAGTTCAAGGTTGGAATTCATCCTCATCGAGGAAAAGGGCCCTTGCCAGAAGACTTACCAGACTTATCAGCGAGTGATCTTGTCTGTAGTGGCAGACCGAAGACTGGAAAGATATGTTTGTGTAGTAGACGAAGATGACTCTCCAACTGCGTACAATTAACAGCCGGAACTATTCCTTCATACCAGAAGACCCATTGTGAGGACAGGGATGATTCGGACAGGGCCCTGTTGCATATCCCGAGAGGAAATGCATGAAGGTTTGGACGTCAGCAGATTGTCCATCAGGTTACACAAACCCGCACTGACAATTGAAGCGTGTCCGCACTGGATGGGAAAGTCCTGGATGGCAAATGTGCAAGTGGACAGATTAGAGGAGGGCTGGGATCCAGAGCTCAAAATAAAGGGTTTGAGCTTCGAATGAAGGGGGCTGACCAACAAAGAGAGCGACTCAGAGTGGGACTGCGAAGTCAGGATGACAGTTGAGGAGGAAGCAGTGTGATGTTTGGACGAACGCAACTTCTTACACTTCTTACAACCTGGCGGAAGACAACATGGAGTGTGTTTGCAGGTGAGGCCGGATGTCAGGCAGAGTTGGATGAGCGGGCAAGATTGGCTGAGCTGCAGATCCCATCTGGAAGAAGCGCTGTGGTGTTTGGACGAGCACAGCTTCCTTCTAAACTATCCGCCAAAGAAGACGAGAAGCGTTTATGCTTCTGCCTGGGGGAGTTGGCGTAAAATTCACAGAAGGGGCCTGCTGGGTAGAAGCGGTGAAAGAACTGTCAAGTTGCGGATTATGTTCGGGCAGAGATTGCATGAGGTGAGCCACAATGGAGGGAGGCCTGGAAGCGTTCTTCTAGACCTCCCCAGAGAAAAAAAAATCAGGCGAAAGACCTCTGGTATGGAAATCACTGTGGTGCAGCAGGCCAGTGGGTTTGGATGCCAGAGGTGCGGACTGGGGAGATGTGGCCACAGATCCGTATTCCAATGGCGCATTCACCGAGACAGCCCCCATGAAGTGATGGAGGGTTGATCTGGAAGCGTTATCGTCCGGTTCATGCCTGGGAGCCCCGTTGATATGGATCGAAATGCCAGTGGGATTAGGTGCGCAGCAGCCGTCTGGATCGACAGTTGAGACGTTGACTCGCCTCCTAGCAGGTCTTGATAAGCCTACCGGTAGCAGTGGGAGATGTGTCAGTAGGTAGCAATGGAGACGCAGCATTGGATCGATGTTACAACAGCACATTTACCAGAGCAGGAACAAAGGCGGGTCGGCCCAGGAAGCAGTATTTTTCTGGCGCATGCTGAAGAGGACTTGGATGTCCTAGAAAGTGATGGCGAGTTGGCCCGGGTAATGTTTCATGCCCAGGTGCCCTAGTGGAAAATTCTTGGGCATCAGATGGTTGACGCATACCAGATCAGGGGGGTTCTGTTTCCTGTGTTGCACTCTGCCTTGTGCCAGCATGGCCCGGCATTGTATTCACCGGGGCCTCCCCAGTAAGACAACACGGGAGCGGCCAGGGAGGGTGTAGTGTCTGATTCATGCATGGATGCCCTCGTTAAAAGAGTGTCTGAAGGCGGAGGCTCGTGGCATGAGGCAGTCATTGTGGCTGGTGTGGGGCCATCCCTTCACAAGCTTTATGAGCCATGCCAATAGTGTTGAATTCTTCAGTAGGCATTGGTGGAAGGTGGACTGCCACAATGGACATCATCATCCCAGTAGCTACACTAAGGGAGCTGAGTATTCAGATTGCAAGCACTACAGCTCAGGCTCCTGTGTGGCATCGTTGGCTAACCCCGGTTCTAATCAGTCTGTGTGCTGGAGGAGCAGACCATTAGCACTGTAAATATGAGTCTCAGCTGTGAACCTTAACACCTCGATCATGACTGCTGACCGACTCCTGTCGGTCTGTAAGGAGAGTTTGGAACCACTTAATGCTGTAAGCCCCCAACTGTCCTGGATCACCCAGTTGACCTTATATAATATCGCCAAGTGGCACGAGTTATGTAGAATCAATGGCGGTAACCTATGAGCATGCACATACAAAGAGTAAGAGAAAAATACAACACAAAACAACAAATAACACACATTTAGAAATAAATATGAATATATTCGGAAACTACAGTATATTATTTATACATTACAGTTGATCAAGCTACCACAGGAATGCGGCGCTAAGAAAAGGACGAACATGGCGGCGGTGCCACAATGTATCGTGGTTACAGAGGGCGCACTACATTTGATCAAAGTTTTAGCAAATGGCATAAAGCATATAGGAAATTTGCATATATAGTGACTGTTTGGGTAGGGTAGGGTGAGGGTATATTTTAAACAATCTTAGTAGGTAAAAACTAAATAAAGATTGCTACTGATGTCAAAAGCACAAGTTAAAGTTCTTCGTACCAGGCAAACTGAAAACAAAAGTCATTGGGAGCATTAAATAGAAGTCTATTTTGATGAAATCACACTACAGCTCTGCAACGACACGACTGTTCCACTATTTTGGGGCAAATGGGCAAATGTGTGCAAGCTGTGCTTGTTCGTACTTAACTGTGAATTAAAAGCGGTTGGACAGTGAGAGCAATTTGGAATTGATTTTCCATCAAACTGATCAACACTGCATCATACAATAAAGTTGAACAGTCCCAATTTGAACTGGAGTAAGGTCCTGCTAAATTTCAGGCAAATTGCTGAGGTCATTTGCAAAGAATGACACCCAACTTAATAAACCCGTATTTTTCTCTGCGCTTGTAAAACCCCCAGTACACTGCAAGGTCGAATGAGAGCCGTATTAAGACATCATCAAATCACTAGATAGGTTTACCACCCTCATCAATGCATTTCTTTTAATCTATGCATTCTCTCAGTAGAAATGAACTCCAAAAATGATGATTTTTTGTATAAATGTGAAGAAAAGCTGCCACATTAGTCATGACATGGGAAACAATGACCAATTCACTGTTAAATAACAATTTTACGTCAAAGCAATTTGATTGATCTTTAAACCAAATTAGTTTTATTTCGATGCTAAAACTGTGATTTAAATGTCCCAAGAGGGTGGGTTTAACTTCGGACCAAAACTGGTTTAAAATTTAGTACTGCGTCAAACAGTTGTAGCCAAAATGCTTCCTGTTTTCACTGGTACAGTTGACCCAGAGTAACATAAAGTTTGTCTATGCCTGCTTTAATTTGTAAACAGGCAGGGTAGTCTGGCGTCCAGCAGGCTTGCACAAAGGTTATGTGTCATGTATGAAAATAAACTGTTGTCCTGGGTTGTCTTCTATTAACAAATTGGACAAGGAAATTCCTAAATAATACATGAACTACCTTAAGTTGAATAAATACAAGAGACTAAAGTAAGTTGATCAGCTTACCACATAAGATAAAGTGAAATGGCGAACTAGAGAAATTTGAAGATGACAAAAGTGACAGGTGCGTTAGCAATGGCACAAAGAAATATAAGGACAAACAATGTGGCACCGCCACACTGCATTGTAGCACTAGAGGGTGCTATACAGTTGATCAAGTTTTTCGTGAATGGCAAAAGCCATGAAAAGAAATTTGCTGAAGAAGTGACTGTTTGGGCAGGATGAGTGCAGTGGATTTTGTAATGATCATGTTGATAAAAAATGTCACGTCCTTTTAGCGTAACGTCCATGATGCTCACTAGTAATGTTAAAATAAAAAATTGTGATTTAATTAACGTTGATACAGACTGTTAGGTATAACATTCCATGTTACTAGAAACAAACAGGTACAACTTCTAAGTCATTTAAATTGATTACTAATGTTCAGAAACTGTCTCTAAATATAATGTTCATGACAGTGGAATCGCCCCTATAACAATTTTAAAAGCCTGTGTCTATATTTATTCAATATCATTACACTGTTTGATAAAGATTACTACAATAACACTCAAGAACAGATCTAATATAGTCACTGTAAAGAGTACTCAATTCATGCAAAAATATGTTTGAGAGTCTGTAACGAACAGCCCCTCGTTAATTTATTTCTTTAATATGGTTAATATGGGACTTCCACTTTAGATTACTCTGGACCAAATGTCTAAGAATTTTGGCCTCAGTTTTTCAGGCTCACCAGTCTGAAATTGTGACTTTCTTGTAGAATAAAACCCAACAGGAGAGAAGGTGAAACCTGTAAGTCTACAATTGAAATGAGTCTTCAAGAATGTTGTGCTTAAACATACTGTTGAGGTTAAATCAAAGGTCCTAGCTTATGTTAACTTTGTCTTGAAACTTTAAAGGAGTTAATAAAGCAACCAAACCTAATCACCTAATTGGTCTTACTTGATATGTGGCCTTGCTGCTTTTTCCTGTCTATCAGTTTACTTTGCCAATTGATGAGAGCATTATTTTCATCAAGGAAGGAGTCTCGTGGCTTTGGCTCAATCTTTAGCTTCTTCTCATACTTCACTCTTGGAGTCGTTGGCTTTTTAGGAATGGCTTCCAACTTTGTCTGCTAAAATACATAGACCAAAAAAGATACCAATAATCATGTTATCCAATTGTTATCGTGGTTATTCCCTCTTTAAAACTGCAAGTACCATTCATTCTCAATCAGGCTGCAAAAAAAAATTGTTGGCTCGAACTTGATTGTTTGCAAAGATTTACATGTGTTAATACACTGTGCAGGATTCGTACATATTTGCATCAAATCATATTTGCATCAATCTTTGAAAAGAGCTGGAAACAAACAAATAGTAGTATAATTTAAAACACTGTTTCCTGTTAAGTATACATGTATGTCCCATGGCCATAAACTCTTGGATGTGGTTTGTCAGGAAAATTTGTCACTGTTTGCAGATATTAAATAATGAAACCAGAGCTGAAGCAGCCGTGTCTGTCCACAAACACATTTCTAGTTTGCCTTTATTGTCAATGAGTTAAGGGAATGAACTGAGTACAGTACATCATATCCCCGCTCACACGATACCTGTAGTGCTCTACTGTATTCACACCTAACACACACAGTGCACACATACTGTAGCTTGCTCATGTACATACATGCAGTCGACACACAGCACCTCAGGCAAAATCAGCAGGTATTAAAGAGAGGCTTGCACCAGACAGCTCAGAAATTATGTGGCATGCTTTTAATGATCTCAGGTGTAATGATCACCATGTAAACAAGTGGCATAAATTTCTTTGTTCTTTGGATGTACAAGATCATGGTAAACCCTCCTGTATTCTCTTTAATCAAATTTTACATTTCATGCTAGAGTTTGTTCTCAAAGATATACAATCAGGTACTGCTGGCAGCCCCTCTGATGAAAATGAACTTAAACAGATTTCTTGTAAGGAAGAGCAGGTTTTATGGTCTGCTGCCGGTTATATTCCCATTGCTCTATATAAACATTTCAGATGCATTAAGTTCTGAGGTATATTGTAAATTATTATTCTCTCAGAAAGTTTCCAGTTGTAACAAACTTAAAACCCTCTAAGATTATACTGAATGGATTAGATTACAGAATAGAGCTGATTTGCATAGGGGCCAAGGGGCCAGATAGGGACCAGATTAGCATGCAGTGGTGCTGTGTGGCTCATCACTGTGGTGGTGGAGCACTTTTGTCCCAGGTGGTAATCCACTTGCACTAAATGCCCCAAACCGTGGTACACTGTTTCAAAACAAGGCTGGATTATCTCCACTATTCGGACTGGAGTGAATGCCCAGCAGCCTGGTCTTTTGTTCAGAGTACGGTCTTTTGTTACAAGGCCCAGTTCCCTTTGTCCGATTTCAGCTACACGGTGCCTGAAACCGGAGTCCCCGGCGGCAAGTGGTTAAGGCAATATGTGGTTAAATTTTGATAAATGTAGTTGGAACAATTTGCATACGGAGGGAACTTTGGTTACATGTAGGTTTCATAACAAGATTTTATCAACACATACAATAATTATGCACATACTTTTCAAATAGTAAGGGAATGTTATTTCAATGCCTCCAATTGTCAGACTCACTGACATGTATTTGGATCATTCTATCAATTTGGGGTCCAATTTTTCCTTTCTGTTATGTTTGGCATATGATTTTACAATGTTTAGAGGTCATTCTTTAATTTCCAAGCTTGAACAAGTACTGCAGATTACCTGCCGAACAAATAAAAAAAGTTTGAAACCAATAAAAACATCAATTTAAATGATATATACCTTGTAAAAGTACACATGTCATATGTTCGAGGGACGGAAAAATGTTATACTTAGGACCCTAAAATTTATAGAATGACCCATATGTAATTGCTCAATCTGACTGGGGTGACGTAATGGGTGTAACAGAGACACACAATTTCACCTGGTGGAATATCAACAGGTAGAGATTTGGCAAAGGTTTGGGTAGGGTATAACTCACAACTGTTGCCTCATCAAAGTTTTCTACCAATGCTATGTCTGTGGCTTTTCTGTGCAAGGACACAGTGTTGTACTTGCATATGCCAAACACTACATGTACATAAACAAAGCAAAGGACAATTTTGTCAGTCAGTTAACATTTAACATCAGGTTGTGGTACCAGCAAGCATAATTTTATTCCAGTTGATGAAACCAGAAAGTCAATTCATTGTTTCAGTCATGAAATATTTAGTTCCCAATTCAAATTATCAAAATGTGAAGGCTATTCACACCACCTTGGAGAGGTAACAGATGTAACGGTGACACACGACATATACAATATGCAACAAATGCCCTCAGTCATGGTATTATTGCAGCTGTCTAGATTTTACACCACTGTACACACATGGCCTGCTCAGTCAAGACCTCTGGCCATCCCTGACCCTGGAACATGCCCACAGTACTCCATGCAAAAACAGAGCAATGGACAAGTTTTATCAGCTTTAACATTTTGCATATACGAATAGTACCAGTAAGCATATTTTCATTCCTTTTTATGAAAACAGCCACTCAATTCATTGTTTCAGTTAGGAAATATTTAATTCACAATTTAAATAATCTGCAGTGTACGTGAAGAGGTCATGAGTGCAACAGCAAATTGCCATGATCTGCGACACACCAAACAAGCACCAAAATTAAATGCTTTCAGTCACTGTGTTAAAAGGAAATTACATCATTTTCATTTTTTATTTTTCCTTATTGTTTCCTTGAAAGGTAGATGACAAGTTATCATACATGTAGATATTGGTCTACTGACCTGTTTAAAGTTTTGTTTTTGCAGATGCTGAAGAAAATGCAAAAAAATGGTTGTTTTTCACAGTCAAGTAGTTGTCACATGCCTTACAGTGTTCAAAAGATAAAGTCGCTGTCCAGGAATTTTTGTAGAATATGACAAATTTATGTTTTATGAGAAATAACAGTATTCCAGATGCTGAGACTTTTCTAGATAAATGAATCAATTATTCTGTAAATATTGGAAAATTCAGATTAAGTACTTTTGTAAATGGTGTGACTTCCCTTTTAATAGGACTGTCTTTTGTGTAGACTTTCACCAATGACTGAACTCCTACCCTTGCCTGACCCTGTGAATCAACAACTCAGTTTGAAATTTTTGCAGTGCAATGTAAAGCAACACTTTTAAGATCTGCTGGACATGTTTGTAAAAAATGTTCATTAGAATTCCAAGTATTGAACAGTATTTCCCTGGGAGCAAAAGTCTCTGTTAATCTATTCAGAGTCCACAACCAGTGTTGTATCCGAGACCTTGATGTCCGAGACCAACACCAAGGCTGAAACCTACTCCTTCAAGACCAAGACCAGGACTTTGAGACCGAGACTTTTGTAGGTCGAGACCAAGACCACAACTTCCGAGACCGAGACCAAGACCAACCATAAACCAATGTTTAGTTTTTGCCAAAAGGTAAATAGGGACAAACAGATGGCAGTACGATTAAGTACAAAGGAAAAAAAATGAAAACATTAGCATAAACACACACACACACACACACATATACGTCAAATATTTGTTAAAGAATGTCTCAGTTCTTTTATCAGTGATACTGCTCTACTTTTACCCTGGTCTGGTCATTTTCAACACAAGTGTCCCAAATGATATGATGTGAACATTCAAAGAAATGGTGGTGTTTTTTTTTGTAAGCAAAATACTGAAAAAAAAAAATCCCCCCAAAATGTACTGTAACGAAACAACTAAAACAAGACGTACCCATACAAGACAGAATGAAAGCACTTTCACACATGCACACAATTTGTAGCGTGCGCACACACACAGACTGGTTCCCGTCCCAGCCCTACATTCAGCTGGAGACTACGTAGGGAACGGGAACCAGTCTAGAGTGTGAATTCCGCTACTCACAACCTCATCTCCATGGTGTCAAGCTGCATGGCTACCCTGGATTGGACTGGGACAAGGTTGCATCATGCTGCATTGACTATTCTTCATTCCAGCATCAATTTCATTGTTTATTGCACACAATCTGAACATTACTGTGTTGTATTTATATCAGTGGCTAAAGAGTGGACTCAAGTGGAGGTAATTTTGCCTTTTGCAACCGCATGCATGCGTGGTAGCTAAATGTGCATTTTGTTATGGTCTCACCTGGTCTCGAGGGGGAGACCCGAGACTATGGCATCCGAGACCAAGACTGAGACCGGCACTTTCGAGACGGAGTCAGACCCTCCTGAGACCAAGACTTTGACAGGGCGAGACCGAGACCGCAAAAAAAGGTCTTGAGACGGTCTCGAGACCGAACCCAGGTCTTGAGACCTACAACACTGTCCACAACCAGACTGGAAACATGTTAAATAATCTTTCAAAAGTTTTCTGAAAACATGTCCAAGAGAACGTTTTAAAATGTGGGTACTGCTTGCAGTTAGTACATATGCACAAACTGCAGAGTGAAAACAGCATTTTCAAAGTTAGTGTCCAGTTCTCAACGGGTAGTGTCCAGTTCTGATCACAATCTGGTCACATTCACTCCTCTGTTTGGCTCAAAGCCCTAAAACTGTAGTGTAGGAAGGTGCTACTTGTAGTGGACGAATGACATCTTCAACAGGAAGAGCCTAGATGTCATCTTTATCTGGCCACACAACTTGGTGGGGAGCGACCTCCTTCATGTACTTCACTCTCAACATGTCGCCATTTACTGCAAGAACCTGAAGAGAAATTAGGAAAATTGAAAAATGGCTATATCTAAAAAACATTTGATTTCTATACACCCTGTGGACAAAGGTCTGGGTAGAAGGGGAGTTAATATTTTCCTCAGTTGGAATATACTCAAAAGAAGAAAAGTACTTTACCTGAGCAACGTACTTTTCAAAGGTTTTATTTCACTGAAGCTGGCACAGCACATATCCACCTTCATAAAAGGTAAACTCTCTACCTGCGTTAAACCATAACAAAAATTGAATCCAGATTAGCACCAGCAAAATGGTGCATGTCCTACAGTAGGTGACAGGGCATACATAATGGAGAAAGTAACAATGCAGGTATCTACATGTACATGTCCACACACATGGCCTGGCCTGAAAGGAGCCTTTCATATCCCATGGAGGTATTCAAGATTTGGATTAATTACACATATCTCACAGTTCATCGGTACCTTGGTCAGTGGCATCAGCAGTATGGGGTGTTGTTCTTCCTTATCTATTTCAAGGTGTTCGTCCTGGTGTTTGTCCTGATCTTCCTGCCCTGCAGATCCTCCTGCCACATCTATTTCCCCAGCCTTCACATTCTTGAACTCCAGCCAGTTGTGTAGTCCTTGTTTGTGCATGATTCCCCGTTTTCACACCCACTGCAGAGGCATGACAGATCTCTCACTTTTACTTTGCCTGGTGTGAGACCAGCCACAGCGTGAAGTTTTCTAGTGCCTGTTAGGACCTGCTATCTCCTTGTGCTGGTTTGGACAGGTTTTTCTCACAAAATGCAAGCATGGATTCCGCATCAAGTACCACACACTGGCCACTCTTCACTGCCCTCTCTACTGCCTTCTTTACAATGCTCCCTTTCCCATCACACAGTCCTTTTCCATGATGGGATCCAAAAACGTGACGCTCCACATGAAACCCAAAGTCTTCTTTACAAAAAGGACAGGTCAACGAATGGTATCTTGGACTTATATTGACTGGAACAGCCATCAGTGAACTACTCTTACCACAGGGAGCTTTCTGACTTGTGTGAGGTGGTGATATGCTTCTGTCATGAATGCAGAAACGGCGTCGCTGTCGTGCTTTGTGTCAGCTGACAGGATGTTGATACATTCACTCACAGATCCTCCATCACCAGGACAGGTGTACTCAGTGGTAATAGCATGGACCGTTACTTGGTTTTTACACCAGTAAGCTCCTTGCAATTTGTTTTGATGCAGACGTGACGTTTTCTGCAAAATCCAACACACAGATTATTGTGTTTGCCGGTATTTTGCTTGTTATTGCTTTGTACTGAAGGTGTTGCCACTGTGCAGTGAACATGTGTTGAGCGAATGGCCCCATCTTCTCCATCAACCTTGTCACAAGATCATCAAGACTACCCCTTTCTGATGTCAGAGCCATCCGCTTACCTTTTCCGGTATCATCCACCAATTTCCACTTCATCCATTCAAGTTTTCTTGGCCATGATTTTGAGTTAGAGCACACAGGTGAGCTCCAGGCCATTGATACCACAATCTTTGCACTAGTGGAGAACACAGTGTTTCTTGAAGAATTCTGCTGTGTTTTCCTTTGGGCAGCATGTTAAGTTTATTGCATGGTACTTATTGGGGATTTTCACCTTGGGCTGGTTATGCTTCATTGCACACTGATTGATGGCTTTGAGCTCCAACTCGATATTTGTGCACTATTTGCATAAGCACTGATTCTGCCTAGTGTGTTTTTGAGTCAAAACATTGCCAGGTCTCAGCTGTGCAAATTTCGTCAGGGCAAGTTTTGCAGGGCAAGCAGCAGACACACTGGATTATATCACATACTTTGGCAGTAAGGTTTTCCAAAAAAACTTTTGGGTGGCAGACAGGAGTTCACATCCAGGCTTATATAAAGTCCTTGTTGTTGTCCTCTACATGACATGGCATGGCATCACTCTCGCATTTGCTTTGACAAGGGTAGTGACGGGGAGTTGAATATTTCAACAGCGTTTTGTACCATACCCCAATGCGCCTGGCAATGCTGCATTTCAATCTGTACTTCTTGGATGTTTTAGACTTGAAGCTCCAGAGAAAATTTTGTTCTCAGATTTTACATGCTGTGTGTGTCTTATGCAGGTCCTTTTGCGTTTCTTTTCGGCACTTGCAGATGCTCTCAAGTACTGTGGCAGCTTTAGATGAGGATGGCTCACTGCTTTTCTCTGATGGCGCTGACTTTTTGTTGCGATTCTGTTCTTCTGTCTCTCTCTTTTTTTTCTTCTGCATTCTTATCCTGTTTTTCTCCCTCATCCATCTTTTTTTATATGCTGACATTTTGGCCCGCTCTCTCTGTTTAGCTTCTCTCTTCTTCTGTTGTTGCTCTTCAAGCACTTTATGATGTTTTTCTTTGGCAGCACAAGTCGTCACCTAAGGCTGCTCATTCTCTTTACAGCTCTGTGAAAACGAAACAGGCTGTGTGACTGCAGCAACTTTTTTCTTCTCCCTGAAGCGCCTCATTCGTGTTTTGCTTAGTTCCCTATTCCTCAGTTTCTGTTCTTCAGTCATGAGCAATCTGCATTGCATACTTATTTTGTCTTGCCACGCAACTTCACGTTTTTTGGGGTCTGCTTGTATACGGAGCCGGTACCTCCTCAACTTCAAGGTACCTCATGATTGCGGGGGTTTTAGATGAGGACGCTCTCGGATTTCATTTGCAGATGACAGAAGGGAATGTAGATTTAGTTTCATTTTCATCTTGGTCTTACTCCTCGTCACTGCGGATGAAGCTGTATGAGCTGTACTTCTTGTTTTCATGGTGTTCAAGAGCAGATGACGGTAGGTATGGCATATATGGTAGGCCTACACATACCTTGAAATGAAAGTTAAAAAAGAGAAAGCAAGGGATAAAATATTGCAGGCTTTAAAGTTGAAAGTGGTCAACTCGTACACATGTCAGCTCGTAAACAGGTCAAGTCGTATCCTTGTAACCCTACGTTCCATTATTCTTTTAGTAGCTTTTCTAACAGCCTGGACTGGTTCCAAGGTTGTCAAGGCGGGGGTGGTAGTGGGGATAAGCTCCCACTCCGTATAAAATGCTCCCAATGGCATGCATCTCCAACAGCCTCTGACAACCAAGTCCAGCTCCTGGCATTCACGTGGTTTAGTCTCTAAACCCAGCAGAACTGTTTCTACTAACAGGAGAAGGGGTGAAATGCGGTCCACTGACACCTCAAAACCCGTCGCTTCGGGCAGATGAGGCTCGTCAATCTTGGGTGGCAGCTCATCTAGGAAAAGGAAAACTCTGATTTCAAACCTCCGCTGCCTTGCGGCTCTACCCACTTATTAAAAGGGAAAGGCTAAGGGAGTAAACCCTGATAATAAATCCACGGCCGGAGTCCCCAAGGCGGTCCCCTGCTGCTCTCAGTAACGTTCTGGCAACTTCTGCGAATACTGCTGGCACCAACCTGTATCGGCCCTGCCGCTCCGTTGGATCCATCTTCAGTGTGGAGAGGGGGAACTTACGTCAAGCATGAAGTGAAGGACCTTGACAATGTCTTTCCTCAGCAGCTGTTTCCGGAAATTCCTTGCCTTAGCCAGTGCATCTACAGTGACTCCTGACTGAACCTCGATTTGGTAATGTGTTGCTTTGTGATTAGGTTATTTATGAACACTTCTTGGATATGCATAGATGTTTTTGTGAATCCATTGAAAAAAGATCGTTAGATCACTAATGTCAAGACACTTTTTCAAATTTTTTACCAAGTGGACTAAATTAAAGACTTTGATGATACCTGATGTAGGTACATCATGAGTGGTTTGTAGCCATTCATCAAGTGTTGTAGAGCCTTTTGAAGATGGGCAAGCCACCTTATTACTCCAACCCGAGTAGGGACAACTGTAGATAAATTGCAAGACTCAGCTGTAAGTTGGAGGCCACTCCTATTCTTTGAACTGTGTTTGTAGAACAATTGCAGATTGAGGAGGAGGGTATTCAGAGTATTACAAATTGTTACTTGCTTCACAGCATCCTTGTACATGTAGGCCAACTCTAGTCGATGGGAAGTACAGTGCACTGCCTGCATGCTTGGGAAGTCATCCCTCAGTAGTTTAGTGACACCGTTGTTTCGGCCAAGCATTACCGATGCTCCACCAGAACCAAACCCCATCAACTTCTTCTCAAGAATGGGGAAAGTGATTCCAAGTCACTCTTCCAAACAATCCATCACTGCAGATTAGATGGAGGGTGCCGTTGCTGAAGCCGCGTTCTTAACAAAGTGTGTGAGGGCCTTCCCATCAATACTGAACTAACAGTAGATAATCTCTGCCACTGTGATTGAATGGTCTGTTGTTCCATCTCTGATAATGGAGAAAAAGTTGGATTTGTTGCCAATCTGTTGCAGCTTTCCTCTTTCAACCTGGGATATAAGAGAACATTAATTTTTTTGTTAGTTTCCAGGTGACAACATGTTTTTCTTCTAGGGCCGTGCCATTGAGGAGATGTAGGTCGCACATTTAAGCTTGCAGAAAAATGATAAAATTAACTTAAAATTTACAACATAAATCTGGAGTTTTTGTCAATGGAAACAGTCCATCTAGATATATGACACTGTTTATCTAAAAATATACAAAAGCTTTACATCTGATTGCAAGTTATTGGAAGGAGTTCCATACATGGACAACACTCAAAGCCTTGTGCATAAAAAATAAACCACAACAGAAAAATCCAAGTTTTCTTAATAAATACTTTGGAATTTTCAAAGCTGAAGTTCACTCTTAAGGAAAGGTGATCACTTTTTGGTGACTAAAGGGCAAATAAGTGTTGCCATTATATGAAAATCTTTCCTGACTGGAATGATTCTAGGTTTGTGTGCGAGATAAAGCTTGTTTAAAAAAAAAACAATTAAAAACACAACAAAGAAGTAGGGGGTTGGAGAGAAATGTTGGCAGGAATAAAAAGTGTATTAACTTGTAATTTTATAAAAACCAAGGCTACATGAATTCCTAGGAGCTTTGGTACTACAAATAGTATTAGCTCTGTTTAAAAAAAAATCAAAGTTGCTAAATACAGAAAATCATCACTTGAAAGGGGCTTACGTCTGCAATATAACGCATGAAAAGAGCTGCAGTCTTGTCCGTGCGCTACACTGTATTAACATCCAGACCCTTGGCAATATCAAGATCAGCCATGCAAATAAAATCTGTGCACAGCCTGCAGAGTTTGGCCAGAGCATATGCATTGCAGATTAAAATCCTGACACCATCATTGGCAGCTTCATTCATTGATTTTAGCTTTCTCTCAGCCTTGCTCATTTCAGGTTCCATCAGGCTAGGGGCATGATGCAATACAGCGGCCTTGTGGTTTTTGGACTAGTCGTGGGATTTGAAAAAATCCAGCCGAAAATTGTCCGTGCCGTGGCTGAATAGATTCTGTTTTTTCCCAGTCCTGTGCTGCTGCCAACCATCTGGACACTCCTGCACACATCGCAAAACATCAACTTCCCATGATATTTTAACTAGGAAAGCTCCTCCCATTGTTGTCTGTATGCATGCTGTCTTTTATTTCTCTTGTAATACACATCGTGCTCCCTTTTACACGTACTGGCTTTCTATGTCGGATTTGATACATTTAAATATCTCCACATTGTGATTGTGTTGTAGCTAGGTTGAAGTGCTACATGTACAAACGCGTGCCTCGCTAGTCGTGTCTACATACACAATCCATGCTGCAACCAATATCTGACCAATCACAGCATCACATTTGCCACACCTATTTGTATCAACACTTGTTCGAAGTCTAGCAGTATGAGTCTGGTTCCGTAACGAAAACATATGCTGGCATTGGGTCAGCGAGCCGACTGTGATAACCCGTATGTTGATATCGTAGGTCATGCATGTGCATAATGCCTATGCAGTCCATACACTGTTCACACATACTGTACATACACGGTGCATACGATGTAGAGACATTCGGAAGTGCAAGCATGGCGAGTATCGGAAGTCCGGGTAACTTACATACATGTACGTACGTGTACTGTACGCTGCATGCACAGCGTACAGTATGACCAGTAGGCATGCATGTGGATCTCAGGCCAAAATTCTACAGAAAAAAGGGGGAAACATTATTTTGTGGTCTTACATTAGTCTGTATAATGACTAGCCTGCAAATGTTTTGTTTTTCTTTTTTATTTCTTTCATACATATGCACGCAAGGCCTACTCAAGTATTTTCTACGTTTGCAGGGAGTGGCCTATATACTGCTGGGGCAATTACAACAAAAGAAAGTGGTGAAGTTTTGTGATTAAAATTAAAATTACATTTATCACCATAATCTTGTGGTCACGAAAATATTGTCTTGATATAGAAAAGGCCGTTTATGCTCCCCCCCAAAAAAATAAGCCCCAGCAGCAATTAGTGAATGAAAAGAATTACAAAGTGGCCCAAATATGCTGTTGCATGAAGCTGAGAGCTGAGGTTAAGTTTGATTTTGCACACTTATATTGTAACACAGGCTTTTCTTTAGGTATATTCAGGCAGTGCATTTTACTCTGGCCCACCAGTGATATTTGTGTGTAGGGCTGTAGTTATTGCTACACCGACGTTGTTTCAGTCGGATACCTGGTTACATGTACATATAATCACTGTAAAATGTGATAGGCCTCAGATAATAAAGATTTGGGGACCATATTTACGTGTGTATTGTTGGCGGGTAATCTTACGTTGGAGAAAGTTACTGAAGTTACAGTATAAAGTTTTGAAGATTTATTGGATCTATTTTCTATCTATTGCAAACTACATGTACTTAGGTCGATATGGCCTCCAATAGTACTAGGTAACAACGTGTTTTTAATGTACATGTATTGTGATCTATCTTATTACAGCCTGATTAATTACCACCCTTTCATGTGACATGTAATTTTCACAACCTGATACCACATGCTTTGCTTTGATTTGTTTAATTCCAGATTAAACCTAGTTACGTTCCACAAGGTGAAAGTGTGGAAGAGTCAATGACTCAGTCTCAGTGAAAGCGTACATGTAGGTTGATTCTGGCAGACAGGACAGCAGAAAGCATTACACATATGAACACAGTTTGTGTTGGTTTAGGAATAATGGCTAGTTGTAGTACTACTACTAGGCCTAAGAAACCTAAGTGCCCAAGAAGCACTAATTGGTCCTTCGAGGAGGTTCGCGTACTGAGTGTCTTTGTGCGGGAGAGTACAACCAAGCTGTTTGGAACATCTCACAAAGGCACTGAGAATGTGGAGAAAGAAAAACAGAAGTACGGAAAGATGGCAGCTGACACCCTTAGGGCTAGTGGTGGAGAGTCACGGGACTGGCAGAAGATTAGGAAAAAGCAGCAAGATATTGCATATGATACCAGGAAGTACTACAGGGACTGTCATCAGATAGGAAATTTACAATGTTACGATTGAAAGATTAAAATGCATATCATATTATTCATTACTATTCATGTTATGATGTTTATAAAATTAATATTTTATTCTATGTATTTTATTCTTCCTGAAGAAAGTGAAACGCAAATGCGTATACTTAAAATTGACATGACATCCAAAATAAAATCAAAAATTTCCCTGTTGGTACTTTATGTTGCTGTTTAAGGAGGAGGATAAAAAGCCAGTCAACAAGAAGACCCTGCTAGATGCACTGTCCCCAATCTCAAAAGATGGCATTGTGGAGAGGGAAGAAGAGGAATCCTACCCTAAGCTGAGGAACTTCTGAACCAAGTGGCAGAAGGTGAAAGTGCAATATATAACTTATACACAACTAAAGCACATCCCAACTTAA